CGGGGGCGCAGGCCGATGCCCGAGGGCCCCTAGCCGTTACGCGAGGGCCTTACACAGCTATCTCAGGGTATAATGCCACTTTCCGAGGACCCTAACCGGCTCTTGAGGGCCCCAGGCCGATTCCTGAGATCCCCAGGCTGATGTGAGAGGGCCGACCGACTGAGGCGGCCCCTACGTCAGTTTCTAAGGGCGTCCACGACCGCCGTCTGGTCAAAGCTGATCTCTGAGGGCCCTACGCAGGTTTTTAAGTGCACTCAGCTCTTGTTTAGGATCTCACACCGGCATCTGAGATAGGATGGCTTATGCATGCCGCAGAGGAGCCCTTACCGGCTCCTGAGGGCTCCGTGCTGATAGTTGAGGGCCCCATGCCAATACTCGAGAGTCACATTCAGTAATCTCAGCGCCCTACACCAGTTTGAGGAACGCCGTTCGGCCAAGGCTGACCTCCGAGGAAAAGCCCTTTGCAAGCCCCGGAGTGCCCTCACTTTCTTTTTTAGGATCTCACACCAACATCTGAAGTCGCAGGGCTAAAGGATGCTTCTGATAACCCTTGCTAGCTCGGACCCAAATCGATGCATGATGACCCGACAGAAGTGCCTGAGTAGCCCACACAGTAATCTCAGGGCTCACACCAGTTTCTGAGGGCCTACACGAACGCTTTTTGGCCAATGTCGATGTCTCGGGGCCCTATTCAGGCATCGAGGCTACTCGGGCGCCAAGAGACGGTGGGGGACCTCCAGGCGAGCTTGCTTGGTGGTAGTTGGTAGGTACCCCATGGAGCCGGCGAACGGTGTCAAAGAGCCCGGTGTGGGGGCCCAAGAAGCGGCGTGGGCATCCATATTTCTATGTACATGAGGTATTCCAGAGGCCGTTATGGGACCTTCAAAGACCGTGTGCGGTGCGCCGGTGACCCTTAGAATTGCCGGCGTTGGGTCTCAGGAGCTGGCGTGCGGCCTTTATGGGGCCCCAAAGCCAGCGTGTGGGCCGTAGAGCAATGGGGAAGCTAAGGGGGCCGGAGGCCAGACCCCCATAGGTCATAGGGGCCAAATCGATGGGCCCAAACATCCCGCCGGCCGTGTTTTATTTTTAAACTAATTCATGTAATCCATGATAAAAAGAAGTGTACCAACATCAACTGTGCAAAAGGGCTCTCTGAGGCCCGTAGGGGCCCTTGAAGGCCACTGTAAGCCTTTAGGGGCCTGTTTAGGAAAATCGGAGATCGATTTGGATCACGTTGCATGCATGCATGTGCATTTACTCTGCTAATGCATCTCCTGACCGTAAGATGCTCGCTCAGTCATCTTATGACCGTCAATTTTGAAGGTTTTCCCGTCCCGCTTCCTTAGAACCGGCTTATTCCGGAGCACTGGCGGCGCTGACTTTTTGGAAGGGGCCCGGCGTGAGATGGGGGCCCAATCGCCACATCTTGCACACCCTACGAGAATTTGAATCCGCGGTCCCTGTTCAGCGGTAACCAGGCTGCCGAAACGAGGTCAAGGTCTTGCTGTTTTTACCGGCTGTCGCGGCCCCATTCGGTCACTATAATGGGAAGAGAACAGGGGCCTGGCTCCGGGGAGACAGACGACAGGCGGGGCGGGGCGGGGCGGGGCGGGGGAAGGGCAGCTGAGACAGGCGACACGCCGACACAGTGCAACTGCCTCGCAGGACAGACGGTGTCACGGGGTCAGCACGGGGTGAAACAGAGGTGCCGGCGGGGTCACCTAAAGGTCACACAGAGGTGCCAGAGGGAGAGCGAAGAGACGAGTGACATGGACATCCACTGCGGGAGGAAAAGCTCTTTTCAGAACCACACCCCTCACACTATGCTTCACTGTTTTATAAGTCTAGACTGTAGATCGAATCTCTTTTTTATAAAAATAGTTTTATGCCATTCAACAGTCGCTATTTTAGGGCACCGTAGTATTCCGAGACTTGCAGTGCTCTACATAGCGATTCCTATGACAGAAGTGAATTTAAATCCGTACCTAAATTTGTAATGTGTCCGCCGACAGATTACTGCTCACAGTCAGCCTAGTTAGATGGAGGCATCCAGTGACAAAGAACACCCTACATATACTGGTGAGCTCATTGACATCTATCAAACCGAAACGTCTCGTCCCCTTCAAGGTCTAACAGATTCTCAAACGAAAGCTAAAAATTGCGCGGGAGTCGCGTACCCGTTACATCTAAACCATCAGAATCTTCCAGAGCACCAAGGGTAGTGTTTGATGTCTATGTGTATGTATTCCAGTCCACCCCTTAGAGCCCCAATGTCAACTTCCTCCAGAGAATAGCGATTCGAGGAAGCCAATTCGTCTCGAATTAAATCCAAACAGTGCTGGTCTCCGAAGAGCGGTCACGAGTACTATAACGAGTGGAACTGAAAGCCGACCGGCCCTTCAAATGCTACAGTCCACTGCCGTAAACACATGAACGAAACAACTTACAGACGAGCGCAGTTGCATCTTTTATTTTAGCCACATACACCGACAAAAAAAGACGGCCTGGGCTGGCGGGCCTGAGTTAAAATATACCAACCGTTGCAACACAAAGGCTGAGATTGCCAACATCGCAGCTAACCAAGGCGGGTCACTGGCCTGACCGCAGGGGCTAAATTTATTATTTCATCCAAACACCACCGGTCCGAATAACCAGAGCACGACGGTTTCGCGTCAGAAACCGCAACCAAGACCTCACGACATATGTAACCTCACATCATAAGGAGAACGGTAACGTCAGATGAGCTCATCAACATCAATGACGTGAGACCGAGTATGCTTTGAGGGCCAGATTCCGCCAGAATATGAACCAGGTCAGCGACAGTGGACTGGCCAAAAACAGGCCACAGACGGACAAACAGACGGACACGCCCCTTCTGTCGGGACGGCCTGGGATAGACTAAATTTAGCTAAACAAAGCTGGGGAACGGGGTCAGACGACGGGTCAACGCTACAATAACGAGGGTAGAGGGCAGGGTGGCGGTATAGGGGGAGGGGAGAGAAAGGAGATTGAGAAAAACGTAACTATAGCATCGCCTCTTTGAAAAATAGCGCCTATTGCAAAACTGATCTTGAAGTTACAAAACCTTTATGCAAAAAAAAGCCCACTTCCCCGGCCGCATCCTTGTTCCTAAATCAGTTTAGTTAGTAAGTTTTCATTATAATACACGCCTTATCTCAAAGTTCTAACCCAACTCACTGATCAGTTCCGGGTTCGTTGTCGGTTAAAACCGTCAGCTCTGTCTGGCCGCACGCGGGCACAGGCGCTCTGGGTAGCAACAGACCCCCCCCCCCCCTCAGCTGTCGAACAGGCCCAGCCAGCCCAGCTACTGGCTGTTGCTACGCGACCGCCGCGGGGGTGTGGGCGGGAGCTGTCTGCCCCCCCCCCCCGGGAGGTTGTTTCGAAATCAGGTGGTGCTAAGTGCCAAGTACATACGACAAACAGTGGAAGAATCGTTAGCACGTAATCTGCTCTTTGTTCGATCAAGCGACGTGAAGTTGAAGTTCATGCCAGCATGGGCGTCGTCCAGTACTCAACTAGACAGAAACACGAAATTCAAATACCCACAAATCGTTTCGGAATAAATGTCTATGTTCTACCTACCAAAGGAACGCAAAGGCGTCATTCGGCTTCATCAATCGTTGAAAGCGCTTACGCCTTACATTACTCGTATGTAGAATAGGAAGAAGGCACCAAACGACGACCATTCACCATAACAAGGATGAAAGAACCAATAGCATGGTATTCCTTCATTCATAACCATAAGCCACATGCATTTAGCAGTATTTGCCAACTAATTGTACAGTATGTACCTATGTAGACTGTAGAGTGTAGAGTCACGTGAGCCCTGCAATGCCACCCCATGTATGCACGTGAGTCCTACCTCGTTTTCAACTCGACATCTGCCTTTGAACCAGCACTATTCATTGACGTCACCATCCGTGAGACTCTCCAGGGGCAGTCACCAGTCACCAATCACATAGCACCAGACCGGACCCTGGTCGCAGTCCACAGTCCAAACTGAACCAGCCCGCAGTGTCAGTCCATCGCCTCCCCGCTACTGGGCTGGGTGTCATCAGAAGGGCATGGACTGACACATGAACGGCCAGAGTCCACAGAAGGGCTGGAAGGTCCGGAGAGAGTCTATGTGTGGAGTTATCAACTGTCATTTACGATATGCAACGTACAGGTTAGGGCCAGCCAGAGGCTTTCGACATGGGGTAACGGCGGGACCGAATGAATACTGTCTGAAGTTCTGGTTCGTCATTTCCATGCAGCGAACGGAGACGTGAAGTTGACGATCAAACATCGAGGAGCGCAACTGCCAACAATCCAGCCAAAGGACCAGCCATGAGCAACAAACCTCACGTAGGATCAACCTTTTCAGATGACCACACGCACACCCGTGTTCACCATCTAAGCTAGCTCGTGACAACAGTCAGCTGATCATCTCAAACAGTCAGCTGACAAGTCTCGACCACTCGACCGCTCGACAGTCTAACACCAACTGACTGTCACCTGTCCGGATGACAGATGACAGCCCACCACCTGCCAAATTGGCAGCCTCTCCGCAGCAGTGACCCGGCCTTGCAGATCAGACGGCCGCCAGAGACGCGTCTATTTTTAAACCAGCACCCGAGGCTCAGCCTCAATACCTCGGTCATGTTCAGCAGTGAGCGCAAACCTGTTCAGCTGGTTTCTTCAGGAGTTTCAGGACAGCCTTGGGTCATAGCGTCGACAGGAGAGTAGACTGTGTCCTTAGACCTCTGTTACCTTATTCCAGTGTTGAATGAAAACCCTTAATCGCTGAAGTAGGAGTGACTTGGCTTGTATAATCGACAGGCTGGCGACTTTCTTCCAAACAACATCGCAACTACTTTCATTCTTCACTCACTCACTCACTCACTCACTCACTCACTCACTCACTCACTCACTCACTCACTCACCACTCACTCACTCACTCACTCACTCACTCACTCACTCACTCACTCCCCTCTCACCTGGTAGATAAGTCCGATGGCGTTGGTCAGAGAGCCCGAGCCGCCGGCGGCCAGCGCGGTGAGTTGAACCCTTGTCTTGACCACATCGGCAGGCTGGGTGACGACAGAGGCCCCAAGGCCGGAGACCAGGCCGCAGCAGAAGGTGGCCAGGTCACCCCATTGACCCGAGGTCACCTCGGTGGGCAGGGCGCCCCGCGCTTGGCTGAGGGGGAGAGGGGGTGGGTTAGAGGAAGGAGAGGCAAGATAAGCCTAGGTGAACTGGAACGAAACGAGGGAAATGGCAGGCCCAACAACGCTCGTTGGAGGAACGAGGGAAAAGCTTGATGTAAACAAATGCAAGCAATATCAAACACATCGGGTAAGTCAGCTCAAGATAACCAGGATTTTGCCTAACCTATTATTTCTCCTTCTGGCAATTCAAGCCATCACTGACCTTCATAATGTTAAGGATCCCAAGTTAGCCCCATTTCGTCAACCACACATTAATGTGCCTTTCCCATACCGCACCGCCTTCGCAGCCCACCAGCCACAGCCAAGGGTGACTGTGACTGACAAACGTGACAAGTGTGACTGGGTGACGATGCCGTTGGCGCACCTGTAGAACATGAAGTAGAAGCTGGAGAAGGGCACGTCCCGGAGCAGGGTGGGCAGCAGGCCGCGCGTCAGGCCGCGGTGACCCTCGGTGCGGTAGATGAGCTGCAGGGCCTGGGCCACGCCGCGGTAGTCGTAGATGCCGCTCTATGGGGAGGGGGAGAGGGGGTCAGAGTCTCAGAGAGGGGCAAAGGGGAGAGAGGGGATCAGAGAGGGGCGGAGGGGAGAGAGATGGACAGAGGGGGACAGAAAGGGGTTACTGAGAGGACAGCAACTGCCAGGGGTCATCATGAGACAGCAGTGCTTATAAAGGCGGGTCTATAAAGGGGCTTTGGGGCCAAGGTGTCAGGAAGACTCTTCAGACTCCAAGTATCACATAAAACTACAGTCACATAGAGGTCAGGAGGCTGCCTTTGGGAGAACCGGAATGATGGGGTACCTCAGGGAACTGGTAAACCTGACCGTCCCCGTGGCCAAAGATCAGAAAGTGTCGTGGAGAGCTCAGAGGCCCCTGGACCCTGGTCCATTTCGACCAGATATCTTCGAGGTCGGTGTCACCGGGTTGACACCGAGATATTCCAGTCGGGCGCTCGGGGTGGCAGGATCCAGGGTGGCTAGGGTCCAGGAACAAAGACAGGCGACACAGGACTCTAGCTAGTCATCCGTATCGATTAGGGAATGGTGCTCCAAACGTGAGATAGCACTGACCACCTTTTTTGGGAGGGGGATAGCCCTGACCACGATTTTTAATAGTGACGATGCGCACAACACACATTATCATCGGCGCATGAAAAAACATTGGTGTAAATAGTAGAGGACAAAGGGACAAAAGGTCAAGAGGGACATAGGACGACACGAGTGAATGACCCAATCGAACTACGCGGCTGGGGGTCACGGCTCACGGGTGCACTACTAAAATAACCTCTAAGGACTCCTGCCAACTAATGATGACAAGCAGTTCAGGTCAAACGGGATAATAACAGGGCGTCTGGCAGTGTTTCTTCAAAGATAAACAGCAGTAGCAAAGCCAACAGGACGCAGTCATTAGGTAAATACAACACACATTGGTAGGGAACTACAATTGCAGTTATCAATAACAACAAATGGTCATCAGAAGTCAGAACTTGGGGATTACTGGGGTTCATCAGCAAGGATTATGGGGTCATTTGTCATCAGAACTGTGACATCATGCATAACCCCGTTCGACCACGCCGGGGATTTTACACTGCGATGAAATAAATCGAGATAAGCAGCAGATAACTGGCAATTCATGTAGGTGATGTTTATAAACCAATCACCATTGGCCATCCGAGCTACAACGTATTTCCAGCTGACAGTTAACCAGTTATAGCAACCACCCTTTCGAATTTTTCCATTGTACTGTTGCCAGACGATGAAACTGCGTAGTTGATCAGCCTCAGTCCACCCAATTATAAACAGTCATCAATGTTGCATGCGTGATGCATCGACCTAACCTTCCAGCAACATTTCCATCCGAATTTTTCCACTCTACTGTTGTCAGCCGCCGCCTCCGCACGCTCCCGATTACCCCCTCCCCCCTCTCCCAGGTCTCGCCACCTGGCCCGTCCCCTCCCTCCTCTCTGCTGGCATCTTGCCAAAGCAGAAATACCAGTCGGTGGAGACAGCGCTACACAGACTTCATGAAAAGCTACACACAAGCTACCTACAGAAAAAAAACACATTTTGAAGTAGCGAATGTAAAACTCGTCTTGCGTCGAAATAGCGAGCACCACTTACTTGTTCTTAGCAATTAAATGCTTTTGCACTAAAATACAAGTAGAAATACGCATCTACGTTAGCGCTCCCGTTTATAACACAGCCCCGCCGTAATGTCACCATATTACACCAAGCCCGCCGGTTTCTCTCGCTGCGCAATAGACGGCCGCACCCAACCCCAGGCGGATAGGAGAGGCCGCACTAGGTCAACGGGTACGAATCACAGAAGGGGAACGGACTGCACGGCCGGTGCACGGGGTGCACACGTGCACACAACAGTTGAACGGCGTGCACGAGGCTGGGTCGTGGTGGTCGGACGAGAAAACGGTATGACTAGCTAGCCCACACATGCAGAATAATGAATGCGATATTCAACAGGAAGAACAAATGAGTGAATTGAAATACATATACGAACATAAGGGTCATGTAAAGCTCTACATACATTCAACGCAGCAAAGGAAATACGTTCCAAACAAAACCGGCCTAGCTTTCGAGGACAGTCTTCCGACCGACTATTGTTATAAATAGTTATACATAGTTACTTACTTATTATAATATTATAGTTACATATCACTCACAACCAGTTGATCCAGTTTTCTTAGGCGATATTTCAAATAAACACAACCATTCATCAACAAGCACTGCAACTCGTCCCTTGAGAGATCTGTCGGTTATAAGTCAATAGTCATTGACCACGGCTCCTATCCCGTTGAGGCCTGACTTCGCAGCGCGCATTGTTTGTTTTGTGATAAAACGCCCTTTCGGTCTAGCGAGACCATTTCAGAGCCGGATGGATGATAGGAATTAGGGGGAGACATTGATCTGGACGGCCGCCCTGGTGCTCCACCGGGACTCTGAGCCCACCCAGGGGACAGGCCACCCAGCCCGATAACGGTCACCCCACCGCACGCGAGCAATGCTCACAGGGCATGCTCACTCAACATACTTCTGAGGAGTCTGGCTGGTGTAGCCAGTAGAAACACTGTAAGATACAGATATCTCTTGTATTGCTGGCGATGAGGATGTCGTCTACATAGACGAAGGCGAAGTCCAGGCCACGGAGGATGTGATCCATGAACCTTTGGAAGGTCTGAGCGCAGTTCCGGAGACCGTACGGCATACGGAGGAACTCGAAGGCGCCGAAGGGCGTTGTGATCGCTGTCTTGGCGATGTCTTCTGGGGCCATCGGTATCTGGTTGAAGGCCCGGACGAGGTCGAGCCGAGAGTAGATCGATGTCCCAGCGAGGCAGGCAGTGAAGTCGTGGAGATGTGGTAGCGGGTACCGGTCAGGCACTGTGATGCGGTTCAGTGCACGGTAATCACCACAGGGTCTCCAATCTCCAGACGACTTGGGCACCATGTGCAGCGGTGATGCATACCGACTGCTGCTGGGTCGGATGACTCCGAGACTGAGAAGGCGCTGGAACTCTGCCTTGGCAGTGGCGAGTCGAGCTGGATCCAGACGGCGTGGGCGGCAGAAGACCGGAGGGCCGGTAGTCTCGATGTGATGTCGGACTGAGTGCTGTGGCTCCGGATGATGTGACGGCTGGGTGAGGCTGGGGAATTCTCGAAGGAGGGTAAGGAATGCTGGGTTGTCGGTTCCGACGACGGCTGTCAGTCCGGTGGATGGCACTGAAGAGTGGGAAGCAGGTGAAGACAACTCAGTTAGGTGGTCGATGAGACGGCCTCTCTTGGTGTCGACGAGGAGATCATACGAGGAGAGGAAGTCGGCTCCTAGGAGAGGATGGGAGACGTCCGCGATGATGAAGATCCAGTTGAAATCTCTTCTGAGGCCGAGAGAAAGCGTGAGCATGCGCTGACCATAGGTCTGGATGCTGCTGTTGTTGGCTGCTTGCAGATCCAGACCGTTGGTTCCGCGAGCACGATCGGTGGGTGTCGCTGGAAGAACACTGTACTCGGCTCCAGTGTCGATGAGGAAGGTGATGCCAGTGTTGTTGTCCTTGAGTCTCAGAAGGCCGCTGGCTGGAGGGACGTCAGAGTTGAGCAGGGCAGGTGCAGACGTCTGTGTCACCTGTCCTACTGCTGGTTTCCCGAGGTCTGAGTTGCGGTTGTAGACCACGAGCACGGTGACTGGCATGAGCGCGCGTTGGTACCGAACTTGTGGTGGTACCAGCAGAAGGAAGCACCAGCGCCGGTAGATGTGTTGGTTGCAGGGCTGGGTGACCGGGCAGCAGCAGACAGGTCGCGTGGTGGACGGTGGCGAGCGCGGCCGGGGGCACGGGATGCAGACCTCTCTCGGCGGCGCGTCTCGTCCACCAGTGTGGCGACTGATGTTGTGAGGGCCGTGATACCAGTCAGCAGCTGGCTCATCAGGTCTTGGAGGTGGAAGGGTCCTGCAGGAGCAGCAGGTGAGGCTGCAGCAGGCGCAGAAGTCGATACCGCGGCGAGAAGGCCTGAGGTAGGTGCAGCGACGTCCGACTGCTGCGGAAGCTCCAGGAGTCGGTCGGCAGTGCTAGCGATGGTCGCAAGGTCCGTCCCAGGCGGCAGGCACTGGAGGAAGGGCTGAGTCCGAGGCGGAAGAGCATTGAGGAAGATCTGACGGATGAGCGGGGAATCTTGTGAGCCTTCAGCTTCAGCAAGGTCCAGGAGATGCCGAAGGAATTGGGAAGGACGCCTGTCGCCGAGTTGTTGGCCAGAGAGCAGGCAGCGAAGACGCTGTTCGACTGATTTGCCGAACCGCTGACGGATGGCGTCGGAAAGGATGCTGTAAGGTCGGTCTAGAGGAGGGTTGCGGAGGATGTCGGTGAAGTCGCGCAGGAGGTGGCCAGGAAGGAGAGTAGCGGCGATCCGGAAGCGGCTGAGCTCATCGTCCACAGCTGCCTGAGAGAAGAAGAGGTCGAGCTGGACGAGCCAGATCACGGGGTCCTCCTCGAAGAAGCGCGGCGGCGCGACGTGGCTGCGTGGCGCGGTCGCCACGCGGAGGTAGTCCGGTTGGGCGGCAGCGGCAGCAGCAGCAGCAGCGGCATGCGAGGCGGCGGCGGCGGCTGCACCGGCGCCGGCGGCTGCACCGGCTCCGGCGGCTGCACCGGCGCCGGCAGGCTGGGTCTTCTGGTCCATGGCTGCCGAGAGCAATGGTCGGGAAGATCGGTGGCGGCGACGGCGATCCGGCGATCGGCAGGTGCTGCGGTGCAGCTGCAGAGGTAGCCGTTCGGTAAGATGAGCCGATGAAGTAGCTGGTCCGTAGTGCAGCTGTAGTAGTCGGCGTTATCCAGTTCCACACAGCACAAAAGAAGGATCCTCGTGGAGACACACCATCCGCCACTTCCTTCCTACACAAAGAGAGCTGGAGGAGATAGCTCAGGGTGCAGGCCAGTGTCGGTGTGCCAGGGAACACGAGGGGATAGCGATCCCATGGTGCGTAGAACGCGGGGTCACCAATCTGGCTGGTGTAGCCAGTAGAAACACTGTAAGATACAGATATCTCTTGTATTTCGCCACAAAATCGAGACATATATAATTTTACATACGAACTTAGTTATCTAGTATTGCACACATGTTGGCGAGAACATCGAATGTAATAAACGAATACATATGGTTTTAAATATACACATAGCCAATGCAGTTGTCCAAACAATACAGCAGTTTAAGCGAACGGAACGTTCGCACCAGAGACGTAGATGCGGATGATCAGGGACTGGGAAGTCACGGATGATCAGAGATGAGGATTGTTGCAGCTTCGGCAGGTCAGGATCGTTGGCTTGGTGTAGGGCGATGTCGGCCAAGCTCAGAAGGCCGGGTGAAGGTGTAGCTGCGGCAGAAGCTGGCGCAGAAACTGAGCTGATCCGTGAGATGGCGTCAGCTACCGGGTTGAGGTGTCCAGGAACATGTCCGATCTTGCTGGTGTGCTGCAGAATCAGGTCCATGTGACGTTGTTCACGGAGAGAATGGTTGGCGTTGCCGTTGGCCTTGAGAGCAAAGACGAGCGGCTTGTGGTCCGTGAGGATCTCGAAGTCGCGTCCTTCCAGATAGGGCAGGAAATGTCGCACGGCGAGGTACATGGCGAGCAATTCCCGTCCAAAGGTGCTGTAGCGGCGTTGGGTGGGCGTGAACTTGCGCGAGAAGAAGGCGAGAGGCTGAAGAGAACCACCAACTCGCTGGTGGAGCACGGCGCCGGCTGCCGTGCTGCTGGCGTCAGTGCTGAGGCTCAGAGCTGCATCTTTGACGGGATGAGCGAGCTGGGTGACGTCAGCGAGGGCGGCTTTGGCTGCAGAGAAGGCGGCGTCTGCCTCTGGGGTCCACGTGACTGAAGCAGCTCGGTCGTCTGCGGCAGTCAGGCCGTGGAGAGGTGCCAGAAGAGCAGCAGCGTGTGGGATGAAGCGGTGATAGAAGTTGATCATCCCCAGGAACTTCTTGAGGCTCTTCTTTGACTCTGGACGGTCGAAGTTCTTGATCGCGCTGACTCGATCGTCGAGAGGAGTGATGCCCCCGCTGGAGATCTGGTGGCCGAGGTAGGAGATGCTTTCCATGCCGAAGGCGCACTTCGATGGGTTGAGGAGCACACCGTTGCGGGAAAGACGGCTGAAGACCTCTCGGAGGTGTGACAGGTGTTCCGAGATGCTGCTGCTGGCGATGAGGATGTCGTCCACATAGACGAAGGCGAAGTCCAGGCCACGGAGGATGTGATCCATGAACCTTTGGAAGGTCTGAGCGCAGTTCCGGAGACCGTACGGCATACGGAGGAACTCGAAGGCGCCGAAGGGCGTTGTGATCGCTGTCTTGGCGATGTCTTCTGGGGCCATCGGTATCTGGTTGAAGGCCCTGACGAGGTCGAGCCGAGAGTAGATTGATGTCCCAGCGAGGCAGGCAGTGAAGTCATGGAGATGTGGTAGTGGGTACCGGTCAGGCACTGTGATGCGGTTCAGTGCACGGTAATCTCCACAGGGTCTCCAATCTCCAGACGACTTGGGCACCATGTGCAGCGGTGATGCATACCGACTGCTGCTGGGTCGGATGACTCCGAGACTGAGGAGGCGCTGGAACTCTGCCTTGGCAGTGGCGAGTCGAGCTGGATCCAGACGGCGTGGGCGGCAGAAGACCGGAGGGCCGGTAGTCTCGATGTGATGTCGGACTGAGTGCTGTGGCTCCGGATGATGTGACGGCTGGGTGAGGCTGGGGAATTCGCGAAGGAGGTTAAGGAATGCTGGGTTGTCGGTTCCGACGACGGCTGTCAGTCCGGTGGATGGCACTGAAGAGTGGGAAGCAGGTGAAGACAACTCAGTTAGGTGGTCGATGAGACGGCCTCTCTTGGTGTCGACGAGGAGATCATACGAGGAGAGGAAGTCGGCTCCTAGGAGAGGATGGGAGACGTCCGCGATGATGAAGATCCAGTTGAAATCTCTTCTGAGGCCGAGAGAAAGCGTGAGCATGCGCTGACCATAGGTCTGGATGCTGCTGTTGTTGGCTGCTTGCAGATCCAGACCGTTGGTTCCGCGAGCACGATCGGTGGGTGTCGCTGGAAGAACACTGTACTCGGCTCCAGTGTCGATGAGGAAGGTGATGCCAGTGTTGTTGTCCTTGAGTCTCAGAAGGCCGCTGGCTGGAGGGACGTCAGGGTTGAGCAGGGCAGGTGCAGACGTCTGTGTCACCTGTCCTACTGCTGGTTTCCCGAGGTCTGAGCTGCGGTTGCAGACCACGAGCACGGTGACTGACATGAGCGCGCGTTGGTACCGAACTTGTGGTGGTACCAGCAGTAGGAAGCACCAGCGCCGGTAGATGTGTTGGTTGCAGGGCTGGGTGACCGGGCAGCAGCAGACAGGTCGCGTGGTGGACGGTGGCGAGCGCGGCCGGGGGCACGGGATGCAGACCTCTCTCGGCGGCGCGTCTCGTCCACCAGTGTGGCGACTGATGTTGTGAGGGCCGTGATACCAGTCAGCAGCTGGCTCATCAGGGCTTGGAGGTGGAAGGGTCCTGCAGGAGCAGCAGGTGAGGCTGCAGCAGGCGCAGAAGTCGATACCGCGGCGAGAAGACCTGAGGTAGGTGCAGCGACGTCCGACTGCTGCGGAAGCTCCAGGAGTCGGTCGGCAGTGCTAGCGATGGTCGCAAGGTCCGTCCCAGGCGGCAGGCACTGGAGGAAGGGCTGAGTCCGAGGCGGAAGAGCATTGAGGAAGATCTGACGGATGAGCGGGGAATCTTGTGAGCCTTCAGCTTCAGCAAGGTCCAGGAGATGCCGAAGGAATTGGGAAGGACGCCTGTCGCCGAGTTGTTGGCCAGAGAGCAGGCAGCGAAGACGCTGTTCGACTGATTTGCCGAACCGCTGACGGATGGCGTCGGAAAGGATGGTGTAAGGTCGGTCTGGAGGAGGGTTGCGGAGGATGTCGGTGAAGTCGCGCAGGAGGTGGCCAGGAAGGAGAGTAGCGGCGATCCGGAAGCGGCTGAGCTCATCGTCCACAGCTGCCTGAGAGAAGAAGAGGTCGAGCTGGACGAGCCAGATCACGGGGTCCTCCTCGAAGAAGCGCGGCGGCGCGACGTGGCTGCGTGGCGCGGTCGCCACGCGGAGGTAGTCCGGTTGGGCGGCAGCGGCAGCAGCAGCAGCAGCGGCATGCGAGGCGGCGGCGGCGGCTGCACCGGCGCCGGCGGCTGCACCGGTGCCGGCGGCTGCACCGGCGCCGGCAGGCTGGGTCTTCTGGTCCATGGCTGCCGAGAGCAATGGTCGGGAAGATCGGTGGCGGCGACGGCGACACGGCGATCGGCAGGTGCTGCGGTGCAGCTGCAGAGGTAGCCGGACGGTAAGGTGAGCCGATGAAGTAGCTGGATCGTAGTGCAGCAGTAGTAGTCGGCGTTATCCAGTTACACTCAGCACAAAAGAAGGATCCTCGTGAAGACACACCATCCGCCACTTCCTTCCTACACAAAGAGAGCTGGAGGAGATAGCTCAGGGTGCAGGCCAGTGTCGGTGTGCCAGGGTACACGAGGGGATAGCGATCCCTTAGTGCGCAGAACGCGGGGTCACCAATCTGGCTGGTGTAGCCAGTAGAAACACTGTAAGATACAGATATCTCTTGTATTTCGCCACAAAATCGAGACATATATAGTTTTACATACGAACTTAGCTATCTAGTATTGCACACATGTTGGCGAGAACATCGAATATAATAAACGAATACATATGGTTTTTAATATACACATAGCCAATACAGTTGTCCAAACAATTCAGCAGTTTAAGCGAACGGAACGTTAAAAGGGGGGCGCACAACTTAATCGAAGCCTTTAGCAATTTAGAGACTGGTAAAAGCGACACCTATTAACAAAACTGTAACTCGCGGTTCGCAGCATCTAGCGGCGACCGGCAGAAGTACATGGGCCTAGCGGTGACCGGCAGAAGTACATGGCTATAGGAGCTACTCACGCAGGATAAACGCAGCCGTACAGCTCGGATCAGGGGGATTTGAGACACAGATGATAATATTAGTTGACTGTTCTGAGGATGGCAAAGGGAAAGGTTATGCCACTGACCTCAGAGCGCGTCTTTGACCTCTTTACTGACCCCTGACCCCGTTAGTGATATCTGACCCAAGTCACTGACCTCACAGCACGTCTTTGACCTCTGCTACTGACCCCTGACCCTGTTAGTGGCATCTGACCCAAGTCACTGATTTCACAGCGTCTTTGACCCCCGTTAGTGACCTCTGACCTGACCCCCGCTACTGACCTCACAGCGCGTCTTTGACCCGTGCTACTGACCTCTGACCCCCGCTACTGACCTCTGAACCCCGCTACTGACCTCTGACCCCCGTCACTAACCTCACAGCGCGTCTTGATGACGGTGGCCGGGATGGTGGCGGCGCCGGCCAGTGCGCGGGCGCTGCCTCCAATCAGCAGCGCCTCGGTGGCCGAGGGAGGGTGGTTCAGAGCCGATCGTAGCAGGTGGAGAGCCGAGAAATGGAGCCCCACGCCGGGCACCACCCGCGTCAGAGACTGGAAGACAGGGTCAGAGACAGGTCAGAGACTAGTAGATGGTCAGACACATGCCAGAGACTGGAATACCAAATATCTAGTGTCCATACACCAGTCTGGAATACATATACATCAGACACGTAAAGACGCTGAAACCCATTGCAGTCAGCGTGAGAACTCACTTCAAACCGTAGCTACTTTCAAACGATCACACCAATAAAACGCTTGGATAAGACTATCCAACAAGAACATAAATAATCATCCGTATTCCGTAACTACATACTGCGACTTGCAAGACAGAAATAATTGAAAACCAAGGTTGGCTTGATATCATAACGACCCACCCAGCATCAGGCCGCATGGTTTTATATTTATAGCAACGCTTCCACACCGTATGAGGATCAATATAGGTAACCGACAACAAACTAAAATACCTACGGCTAAAGACGCATTTACCTTACCCCCTACCGAACATACGACCATACATTATTTACGTGTCGACAGCCACCAGTTGCATTACTATAGCAACTACACCAATACCAGCATGGCGCAACTCTTTCCATCCGCCCGTAACTAAAGCGGGCCGGCCGACCGGTGCCGCATGACCTTCAAACCGGCGGCCGCATGGGTACGGCGATAGACAGGGAGGGAAAGGGAGGGGAGGGGAGGGGTGGCGATCACGCGCCGAGCACGTGACCCGGCCATGGGCGGCGGCCGGCGGAGAGGGGCGGGCGGGTGGAGTGAGGTAGGACGGAGTTCGATGAGACGTGGAGCGAGAGGAAGATGAACTTTACGGATGATGATGATTTATGTTTTAGGACGCCCTAACTTCAGATGTCAAGGGGTAGGAAGAAATGGACGTTGCACAACGCACAGCTATGTTTGTTAGCGAATTAAAGATAAGGAGAGTTTGAACTTACCGGAACAACTCCCTTCCAGAGAGCACGGGGGCTCTCATCCTTGATAACACTCCAAAGTACGGTGGCCATACCAGAAGGACTATTCCTGCGGACAATGGAGAGACGGGTGTCAGTGCCGAGAGTTCTCACATTTACAGGAAGGAAACATATTGCCAATCAATAACTGTATTGCTAACGAGCACATGGTTGAAATGGAGATGAGTACCTTACCCCGGAGGACAGAACACTGATCCCCTGAGACTAGAGTACTTTCGCCAAGAAAAAAGTACTTACCCCCGGAGGACAGAGGCCTGGAGTCTGGTCTTGACAAGATCCAGCGGCTGGAAGAGCACGGTCGAACAGGAGCCGGAGAAGGAGCCGGCCAGAAACGACTTCAGTAGCGGAGACTGAAACAGCAGAGACAAACAGGGGTCAGACAACAGCGGAGACTAAAACAAGGGACAGGAGCCGGAGAAGGAGCCGGCCAGAAACGACTTCAGTAGCGGAGACTGAAAACGGAGAGGTACTGAGGTCAGACATCAAACACACTGGGATAAAACAAGAGCCGGAGGAGCCGGCCAGAAACGACTTCAGTAGCGGAGACTGAAAACGGAGAGGTACTGAGGTCAGACATCAAACACACTGGGATAAAACAAGAGCCGGAGAAGGAGCCGGCCAGAAACGACTTCAGTAGCGGAGACTGAAACGGCAGAGACAAACAGAGGTCAGACAACAGCGGAGACCAGGGAGATGAGCCGGAGAAGGAGCCGGCCAGAAACGACTTCAGTAGCGGAGACTGAAACAGCAGAGACAAACAGGGGTCAGACAACAGCGGAGACCAGGGAGAGGAGCCGGCCAGAAACGACTTCAGTAGCGGAGACTGAAACAGCAGAGACAAACAGGGGTCAGACAACAGCGGAGACCAGGGAGAGGAGCCGGCCAGAAACGACTTCAGTAGCGGAGACTGAAACAGCAGAGACAAACAGGGGTCAGACAACAGCGGAGACCAGGGAGATGAGCCGGAGAAAGAGCCGGCCAGAAACGACTTCAGTAGCGGAGACTGAAAACGGAGAGACAAACAGCGGTCAGACAACAGCGGAGACCAGGGAGAGGAGCCGGCCAGAAACGACTTCAGTAGCGGAGACTGAAACAGCAGAGACAAACAGGGGTCAGACAACAGCGGAGACCAGGGAAAGGAGCCGGAGAAGGAGCCAGCCAGAAACGACTTCAGTAGCGGAGACTGAAACAGCAGAGACAAACAGGGGTCAGACAACAGCGGAGACTGAAACAAGGGACAGGAGGCGGAGAAGGAGCCGGCCAGAAACGACTTCAGTAGCGGAGACTGAAAACGGGGACACATGAAGGTCAGTCAACGCGACACGAGCAGCCGGCCAGAAACGACTTCAGTAGCGGAGACTGAAACGGAGAGACAAACAGGGGTCAGACAACAGCGAAGACCAGGGAGAGGAGCCGGAGAAGGAGCCGGCCAGAAACGACTTCAGTAGCGGAGACTGAAACAGCACAGACAAACAGGGGTCAGACAACGCGACACAAGGAGACGGCCAGAAACATTTTCAGCAACGGAGACTGAAAACGGAGACGGAACGAGGTCAGACATCGAACACTGGGATAAAACAAGAGCCGGAAAAGGGCTAGCCAAAAACGACTTCTGTAGCGGAGGCTGAAAAGTGAAAACGGGACAAGAGAGGTGAGACAACAACGGAGACTGAAACCACTGGGTCTAAGGTGAGAAGACACAGACCGGGACTAAGGCGAGACAAAACGGACGGCGAGAAAGACTGAGAATTGGAACTTGAGGCAGGCTGTGCTATGTGGGAATCGAGGTCCTATATGAAACAGTGCGCGAAACGTGGCGGGCATATGGGGACTGAAATAAGGTAACAGGCGGCGAGGCGACACGGACTGAAACGTCTTATGTGACTGAAACATGGGGTACAGACAGAATAGAGGCCTTAGGCCTTACGAGGATGCGAAGGATTGCAGGAAGGCAGCAAACCTGAAATCGGAAGCGGAAAGCGACGGTATAATGGATAACTGAAAGCTGCAAATGAAAGTGAAAGCAGACTCTCTTTCCAGTCCATTCCATTTCGTAATTTCAACGTTGCACGATGCGATTGATGAAATCGCTCGTCTGAACGGCTGTATCATGTTTCGCCTCCATCCCTTTTCGATGACATTTGGGTGTTGACTGTTGAGCTAGGTCACAGAGCCAGTTAGAACCAGTTCAATCCGGTGACTAGCCCAAACCGACGGTGTCAGCCGCGGTTGGGGGACGGGGACGGGGACGGGGAACGGGGGAGGGTGACAGCGACAGAACGGTCCGGCACGTGGGGTCGGGTGGCGCAGTCGTGAGTAGCAGAACATCACAAAGTCGGTGTTGTCGTTTCTATCACAGCAGTCGCTTTTACGTTTCTGCAACAAAAGGAACATCACGGAACAATGCAAAACAAACACTGGGCAATGAGCATGTAAAAGACGCGTCTCTCCCGTAAACCACCGTCTCGGCGTCTCGCAGGCAGTTGTCACTCGCACCTGAAAATCAACGAACGTTTTCAGACAGAACTTGACACAAATCACACACGAAAACCGCTTACCATGACTGCCTTCTCCCGTCTTCCCGACGCCATCACGCCTGCGTTTGTTGGCGTCGTCTCGCTGGTCACACCTCGTCCACTTGGGAACCGATCACACACTCACACGGCCGCGGCACGTGAGACAATAGTCCTTCTGCTATAGTCACCGCAGGAGCGGGCACCTAGAGCGCTCTAGGTGCAAGGCGCGCGCACCGAGTGCGTATCAGAAAAATCGGAATAGTAGATCGGACTGAAACGATGATTCACCATGGTTTTCTTGCCGAAAGCAGACATAAACACCATCTTGACATTAATCGACCGTACAGAAGGATTGAAATGACTGGGACCGAGGCCTGGACCAGAACGAGACGCCCCCGGCGTGTGAGCGGGTACCGCGACCAGCGCTGATTCCCGAACGAATGACGCAGCGGCCGGCCGAGGCGAGCTTTTTACACCCGTCACTAGGTGGCAGGCGCGTCGCCTTGGCAGGGGCGATTCCAGTACTGGGAATCGGGAAGCTTCCTGGTCAGTGGCGGCGGAAGCAGGGGGGCAAGGGGGGCAGCTGCACCCTAAAGTCATGGAAAGGGGCGCCTCGAAAATCTGTAGAGGAGGCAGGAAGTTAAGAGGTGCGGCAGCCATAAAGCTGAGCAGTGCGAGGCGACACCGCAACTGATAAAGGCACTTGTGACACGAAGAGGGTGGCAATGACGTGGGAAAAGTATCTTTTGATATGCTGAAGAGTGGAGGGCATCCTTATCTGAAACAAAGGCAGATGCTGCCGACCCTGTCGAATATAATCTTGCCAGGCGATAAAGGCTAGGAGGGCGCAGCTACTCGAGAAGCGCGCCATACGGAAGAGGGGCGCCTGCATGCGAAAGAGGGGCGCCTGTGTGTGGGACGAAAAAGAAACATTTATGGAGACGTCTTTGAAGGCGATAGCCTCCGAACGCCAATGCACGAACATATGAGGGCTTATAGCGTTGCAGGCTCCATGCGACAAAAAGGGGCGCCTGATGGCCGATATGCGAGAGGAAATTAGTTTGTGTAACATTTATCGGGGGCGGTTTGCCGTTTACAACATATGAATGTTAAGGGAGGTCCGAGATTGGGGCCTGTAAAATTGCACTGTCCGTATGGGCGGTTACACCCCTAGTGCTAGGGCGTATTTGATTACACCACTGAATGCAATAGTGCAGTGCAACCCAGGCGGCATGCTGCTTACCGGCCTGCAATTCTCTGTCACCGAGTTAGTGTTATGGATTCGGCGCCTTATTCACTAGTCCACACGAAGGTATTGGAACCGTGGAACTCTTTTCGATATGCCTTATTCGGAGAATCTTATGATATGGTGATGAGGTTGTTTCTAAACGAACATTATGAAGGTTACATTTACGCTATGGCTATGGAATGTACCTAACTATTATTTCTCGTTACATAAAAACTGTAATTCTGAACGTGTTAACAGGTACAACACATTGTCAAACGTCTCTTCACTGTTTGTGTTACTACAACCGTGTATATGGTAAGGGGCGCCCAGCGTGAAGGGGCGCTTCAATATCGCTTGCACCCCTATCCTAGAATACCTTCCGCCGCCACTGTTCCTGGTTCGATGATGGTAACCAGGACCCTATCAGTAAATAAACCGCAGGCTACCGGAGATGAAACTCGGGTTGTCGAAATACAAGAACTAACCCGGTCACGCGAACAGGCTGAAGAGCATGGCTGTTCGATCTCCGAGAAACGACTGCTTCGATATGCACTTAGCGATAGGTTAGGTTCTTGATTGACATTGACTATTGATTGACAATGATCAATCATTCATGAGAATAACCATCCTCCAAGATTGACATTGGCACTATCATGCATCTTTATGAAAAATACAACACTCCAATGAGTCCAACCACATAGCATTTTGTAATTTTTTAGTTTGGTCGTGCACATCGGTGCCTTTTTGCATTGTCATGCCACGACGAAGATCGCACATTTTGTCGACGCTACTTTTTAAGTGATGATGGAATGCGTGTCTGGCTGATGTATGGAGAAGTGCTCGGCTGTCTGACAGCTCATAATAACGTCGAATCATGACCCTCGTGGCTGCAGCGCAACTGCAGTCTGCACAGAACACTTGTTCTCCCGGTGACCCCATCGGCGCGACTGATGTGCTCCTGTCATTCTGTGACTCTGACACAGAAACATCGCAAAGAAAGCCGTATTGTCTGCCATCTTTGGCTCCAGTTTCAAACGTCGGCAGATACGTATGCAAAGAAGAGCTAGTTTTTACTATTTACCTGAATCGGTTTTTGAACCATTCTAGTCAGGGCTGCGGAGTCGGAGTCGGAGTCGGAGTCGGTCGGAGTCGACAGTTGTGACCGGAGTCGGAGTCGGAGTCGGAGTCGATTTTAGAAACCCGAGCCGGAGTCGGAGTCGGAGTCACCGAAAATCTGTCGACTCCGCAGCCCTGCTAGGTCTGCGGAGTCGGAGTCGGGAGTTGGAGTCGGTCGGAGTCGACAATTCTGCCCGGAGTCGGAGTCGGAGTCGGAGCTGGTTTTTGAAAGCCGGAGTCGGAGTCGGAGTCGGAGTCGCCGAAAATCCATCGACTCCGCAGTCCGCAGCCCTGATTCTAGTACATTCGTCTAAAACTTGAGCTATATATAAACGAACATTGCAGTGAAAGTTATATTTGGGAGACATTACTGAACGTTATATTGCTTCAATTCGTATAAGAAGACAAGTCCGTTTTATTCGAGGACATGGTAGGTATAAGTGCGACTTGCGAGAGAGTGGCCTAATTGCAACAAGTGCCATAGGCCACA